AGAATAAAATGTAATAAAACAAGCGTAATACATGTGGGGGTTAAATGAATCAAATACTTAAAGTGTTAAGAAAATAAACGAAGCGTTGCCGAAGAGACAAGAATGAACAGGAAAAGGAGACGACAGTTGTAGAAGGAGTGAGGAGGACTGAAGACGTTGGAATACTATTGTCCTTTTTATTACTATTCATACAACTTTTGACGAAATTCATACGAGAACTTTTAGAAAAGCAATAATGAAATCCATACAAGATGGCGGAGTTAATGAGGCTACGGTGAACGAAGAAGAACTACGATTAACTGTTGTAGCTAAGGATAATACGTCGACAGATGTGAAACGTCTTAAGTGTGCCGATCTGAAAATCGAACGAGGAAAATTGAAAACAACGGGTAGCAACGCCTGTTCTAGCCTCCCCTCAAACATATACTTTTTAAAAATATATATCTTATATTTTAAATAAAAATTAAATGGTATGAAATTATAATAAAAAGTTTATTTAGAAAAAAACATGTAATATAAAATTAACAATCAAATACTACAAAAAGTAAAAATTAAAATATTCCAGTACGTAGTTACAAATTGTTTTTATGCTATTACCAGGGCTGTGGAGTCGCGTAAAAATCTACCGACTCCAACTCTGACTCCGACTCCGACTTTTCCTTACCATCCGACTTCGACTCCGGCTAAAACACCAAAACTCCACGACTCCGACTGGCTATTACAAAAATGTGCCACAGCCACAGCCCTGGCTATTAGAAATATGTGTTATTGCACAATCAAACAAACAAAACTTGTATTTTATAAAAACTAAAAGTAACATCGCTACACTAAAATTTTATTTCCTTACTTTTAGTTCTTCAAACTTTTTTTATTAACTGTTTTAAGTTTACTTGATCGGCAGTTTCGGGCTCAATTCAAACGTTCCTGCTTTTTAAGATAGGCAAAATATTTTACCATTGAATACGCTGCTAGGAATTGGCGGTCGAACGTACTATATTTTACCCGTTGTTTGGGTAGAGCCTCAGAGAAGAAGCCCAGAGGTTCGAAGACAGAATTATATTTTTTCGAAGTGCTGCTTCTATTAGGAAGCCTTACTCACTCACGATCAGTATCATTGGAAGGTTCGAAGAATGATAAGCGAAAAGGGTATTTTATGTTATCCTAAAGACATTTATAAAGACACCGACAACGCAACACATCTGGAAGAATAGGTAACTTCCAATCTGTTCCTAGAAATAAGAATCGATCAATATGAAGTGTCTTGTGTAAATTATAGTTTGATAACGAAGTTTCTCTGCAAGAATTCACAAAAAAGTATCGTTAACGAACAGTTTCTTTAAAGTTGAAAGTATTTAAATATTATATCGTTTACTATTATCTTTGTTAATTAAGTTCTTTCGATTTTGCTCTGTTACACGAAAAAAAAATTTAAATAAGATTTTGTCATTTCGATTTTGTTGATTTTAATTAAATCATTGAAATTGATTTCACATAAAATCATTTGTTATTTGTTTTATTCATAAAATATTGCACATTATATATAAATTAATTTAGAAACATCCTTCAATGGAATAACTTCAAAGGAAACGTCTGCAAGAATCCAAAATTGATAAAACCAAACTCGTTTGCTACTTGAACAGAGTAAAACTCCAAAATGCATACAGTATGATTTTAAAAGTACTTTTTATAACCAAAAGTCGCATTAAAGAACAGAAATTAAACGCAATTATATCTCTGTGTTTCCAATTATTCTTGTGTTTAAAACATGCGCATTTAATTACTCTCGGACAACAATAAAATTCTATAACATTATTTTTGTGCATTGTTGTTTTCATTTTCNGCAATTATATCTCTGTGTTTCCAATTATTCTTGTGTTTAAAACATGCGCATTTAATTACTCTCGGACAACAATAAAATTCTATAACATTATTTTTGTGCATTGTTGTTTTCATTTTCTGCCAAGTTATTACGTTAAATTTAAAACACTAAATTTACAGCAATTTACTATTAAAATTAAATTAATTAAAATCAGAAATGGTGAGTAAAACTTTTATTTTGTGCAACACTTTTAATTTTCCATAGTTGGTTTAAAATTTACCAAAAGGACATGTTGAATCTTAATTTCTTATCGTAACTGGAGTACATATTACAGATTTTACCATAATACTGTATTTTAATGTACGATAACTATTTATATTATTATAAATAATTTCTATTTAAATTTTTATTAATTACTTATTTTTATTCAACGGAATTTTTTAAAAGGAAAGAAAACATCAATGCCCGACTTGCGGTAAAACATTTGGGACAAAACAACATTTACGTACACACATGCGGACTCATACGAATGAGAAACCGTTTAAATGCGAATCCTGCGAACGTCGTTTTTCAGAGAAAACATATTTAACACAGCACCTAAAATCGCACTCGGATAAAAGACCATTCAAGTGCAATTATAATGGCTGTGAACGGAGCTACAAACACAAATGTGGGTTAGAACGACACGTGTTCGCATGCCATTTAAAAGACGTTTTATCTAAAGTAAATATTACAAATTTTTAAATTTTATCTTTATATTTCGATTCTCAAAGCAGTAAAAGTTATAAAATAAACAAACACAATATAATTATTAAGAGAATTATTAGCGGAATCATTCTTCCCAATTATTATTATTACAATTGATATTCTCATTCATCAAGACGAAATATATCTTTTACCTCTTGTTATTTTCTAATTTAGTATTTGCATTTTATAATTTCCAGTGTTATTAAGTTAGTTCATGTTTGTTTGATTAAAATTACGAATCATGTTATCATTTAAAAAATAAGTTCAGATTACAGTCGAAAAAACTTCCAAAAACAGTTGTACGACTGTGCGTAATTGCTAATATCAATAATAAAATCTGAGCAAATTACTCTGCAACAACTCATTAGCTGTATTTTTATAAATAATTTTCTATACACATAGTTTAATAAAACATAAACAAAACATGTAATTACAACATAATCGCAATGAAATAAGTCGTTAAAATACACGATTCACAACTGTTTTACAAATTATTGACACCAAGTATTACTTTCAGTTAAGGTGATAANATACAGTCGACCCCCCTATAATTACGGTCCCTATAATTACGATTCCTATAAAACTACGAAAAAATATACGTATTTTGGAAATGTTGAGTCGGATTAGTGTAGAATCGATTAATTTTATGGAAGAAAACCTTTCAATCAGCCGTAGTCCGTAAACTTCACACGTGTCGGGCTGTGATTGGAAGGACTTGTAAGAAATCGGATTCCTAATAAATTGGAACGTATCTATATCTTATAGGGGGGTCGACTGTATTTAACACAGCACCTAAAATCGCACTCGGATAAAAGACCATTCAAGTGCAATTATAATGGCTGTGAACGGAGTTACAAACACAAATATGGGTTAGAACGACACATATTCGCATGGCATTTAAAAGACGTTTTATCTAAAGTAAATATTACAAATTTTTTAATTTTATTTTTATATTTCGATTCTCAAAGCAGTAAAAGTTATAACATAAACAAACACAATATAATTACAGTATTAAGAGAATTATTAGCAGAATATTCCTTCGCAATTATTATTCTTACAATTGATATTCTCATTATCAAGACGAGATACATCTTTTACCTCTTGTTATTTTCTAATTTAGTGTTTACATTTTATAAAGTAGAAACACTAGGAACGTGTTTTTTATTATTTAAAGTGTTATTAAGTTAGTTCATGTTTGTTTGATTAAAATTACAAATTATATTATCATTTAAAAAATAAGTTCAGATTACAGTCGAAAAGACTTTCAAAAACAGTTTTACGACTGTGCGTAATTGCTAATATCAATAATAAGATCTAAGCAAATTACTCTGCAACAACTTATTAGCTGTATTTTCATAAATAATTTTCTATACACATAGTTTAATAAAACATAAACAAAATCTGTTAATTACAACATAATCGCAATGAAATAAGTCGTTAAAATACACGATTCACAACTGTTTTACAAATAATTGACACCAAGTATTATGTTCAGTTAAAGTGATAAATTCGTACAATAAACACATACAATATAATTTTATCTGAATATATATAAAGCATTTCATTAATTTTAGAAACAATAATCAATGAAACTGTATACATTTCTGAAACTAAACGGAACATAATCATTATAACATCAACAACAATAATATTCCTAAATAATAGTAGTTATTATTATTATTTTTTATTTTTAAAGATAAAAATTCTTTAAAAATTACGAGTTGATTTATTTGCTTGCATTTTTCGTAAAAACCATTCTCTTAGTTCACTCTGAGCCTATTCATAAATTGCGAACCTTTATAAAATCAGACCGAAACTATGCATTTGCCATTCATTACAACTATAGAGTTAACATATTTATAACTTAAGATATAACGTGTAAAGAGTTGCATGCTTTAATGTATTGTAAATAATTATTTGTTAAATTATTATGTAATTAGATATCATCAGATGACCCGAAGGTCACAAGACGTAAATGTAATGTGTGCGGAATAGTTCTTTCCTCTTCCGATGTGTTAACGGGACACATGAGAACACACACCGGAGAGCGGCCGTATTCGTGTAATATTTGCAACGAAACGTTTACATTCAAAACTCAATTAAATAGACACCAGAAAAAGTTTCATCCGGAAGGCAAAATACTCACTAAGTGTAAAGTAAGTTTACAAAAATTTTTTAGAAATGAATTTTTAACAAATAAACGTTTACATTCAAAACTCAATTAAATAGACACCAGAAAAAGATTCATCCGGAAGGCAAAACACACACTAAGTGTAAAGTAAGTTTAAAAAATTTTTTAGAAATGAATTTTTAACAAGTATTCAATTAATACTATAAAAAGANTAAAACATTCGGGACAAAACAACATTTACGTACACACATGCGGACTCATACGAAAGAGAAGCCGTTTAAATGCGAATCCTGCAAACGTCGTTTTTCAGAGAAAACTTATTTTTATTCAACGGAATTTTTTAAAAGGAAAGAAAACATCAATGCCCGACTTGCGGTAAAACATTTGGGACAAAACAACATTTACGTACACACATGCGGACTCATACGAATGAGAAACCGTTTAAATGCGAATCCTGCGAACGTCGTTTTTCAGAGAAAACATATTTAACACAGCACCTAAAATCGCACTCGGATAAAAGACCATTCAAGTGCAATTATAATGGCTGTGAACGGAGCTACAAACACAAATGTGGGTTAGAACGACACGTGTTCGCATGCCATTTAAAAGACGTTTTATCTAAAGTAAATATTACAAATTTTTAAATTTTATCTTTATATTTCGATTCTCAAAGCAGTAAAAGTTATAAAATAAACAAACACAATATAATTATTAAGAGAATTATTAGCGGAATCATTCTTCCCAATTATTATTATTACAATTGATATTCTCATTCATCAAGACGAAATATATCTTTTACCTCTTGTTATTTTCTAATTTAGTATTTGCATTTTATAATTTCCAGTGTTATTAAGTTAGTTCATGTTTGTTTGATTAAAATTACGAATCATGTTATCATTTAAAAAATAAGTTCAGATTACAGTCGAAAAAACTTCCAAAAACAGTTGTACGACTGTGCGTAATTGCTAATATCAATAATAAAATCTGAGCAAATTACTCTGCAACAACTCATTAGCTGTATTTTTATAAATAATTTTCTATACACATAGTTTAATAAAACATAAACAAAACATGTAATTACAACATAATCGCAATGAAATAAGTCGTTAAAATACACGATTCACAACTGTTTTACAAATTATTGACACCAAGTATTACTTTCAGTTAAGGTGATAAATTCGTACAATAAACACGTACAATATAATTTTATCTGAATATATATAAAGTATTTTATTAAATTTAGAAACAATAATCAATGAAACTGTATACATTTCTGAAACTAAACGGAACATAATCATTATAACATCAACAACAATAATATTCCTAAATAATAGTAGTTATTATTATTATTTTTTATTTTTAAAGATAAAAATTCTTTAAAAATTACGAGTTGATTTATTTGCTTGCATTTTTCGTAAAAACCATTCTCTTAGTTCACTCTGAGCCTATTCATAAATTGCGAACCTTTATAAAATCAGACCGAAACTATGCATTTGCCATTCATTACAACTATAGAGTTAACATATTTATAACTTAAGATATAACGTGTAAAGAGTTGCATGCTTTAATGTATTGTAAATAATTATTTGTTAAATTATTATGTAATTAGATATCATCAGATGACCCGAAGGTCACAAGACGTAAATGTAATGTGTGCGGAATAGTTCTTTCCTCTTCCGATGTGTTAACGGGACACATGAGAACACACACCGGAGAGCGGCCGTATTCGTGTAATATTTGCAACGAAACGTTTACATTCAAAACTCAATTAAATAGACACCAGAAAAAGTTTCATCCGGAAGGCAAAATACTCACTAAGTGTAAAGTAAGTTTACAAAAATTTTTTAGAAATGAATTTTTAACAAATATTCAATTAATACTATAAAAAGAAATAGTAAAGTTGTTAATTATTAAAATAATTCCACATCCAAATCAAGAAGTTTAATAAAGTTTTTAAAAATTAATAAATCTTGTGAAGTTAGTGCTCAAATGTACTGTACATATTTTGAAGTTGGTATACGAAACTATGTGTAAACGAAAATGTCACGTGAATCTATAACTATATAATTACAGTATTATCAATCTCTACTTATTATTTTAAATCAATTGCTTGTAACAAAGACTTAATTGAATTCATTTTCACGATAGAAAAATATAATCAGCGAGAAATTGCCGAAATTAAACAGATTGCATCTTGACTGCCGTGTGATTGTAAGAGTTTGGATGCAATCTGTTATACTCTTTCGAAATTTCACGATTATTGCGTGTCTCCGTCGTCAAAATTACTTCAATAAATTTTTTCTTATTCATTCGCATTCCTTTATCTGTAATAGATTAAACAATATTAATAATTAAAATGATGTTCTTAGAATAAAATCTTGTAACAATCGGGAAAGTTACGCAACTCGTTGTAAAATTTTTTTTAAAGTTGTGTTTTCATATTTTAAAATTTCATCGATTCTGTTCCTGACGTTTTTCCCTCCATTAAAATTATCTATCAAAAGTTTATTCTATTTTCCCGTTTCCTCGTATTTACAACTGGCCGTGTCGAGTTTCATTTTTTAAATCAAGTGAATTTGTTAAATCATGTAAAGAAATAAAATTTTCAGTTCATTATTATACATATTAAAATGGGAAAATGAACTATACACTTCACTGAATTGATAGAATTAAGTATTTTCATCAGAAATCAGTTTAAAATGTGACTGGATGGGAATTGATCCCATGGCAACTTGACAAAAGTTGAATAATAAAAAATAAACCAATGTTATAATAATAAACCAAAAATAAACCAAATAACATGTTTTAAAAAGAATTTCTGAACACTTTGTACATAATTTTATTAACTAAATGCATAAAATTATGAAAAATTTTGGGGCTTCTTGCTTTTAAGATTTCCATATCTTGTTTCGACCTACATTTATTTAACTCCGTTCTAGAAATTATAGAAAAACTGAAAACAGATGGACTGACAAACGACAGTGGAAATTTATAAATCTATAATTTATTCAAACTGCAACCAATATGTTTTCGTCACCCAGTTACAAAGTGTTTTCACGCCAATTGTTTAAATGGCACCGAATATATAATGACTAACTACGATTATAGTAACAGACACTCAGCATATGTAGTAAATAATTTTTTATTTACACACATTCAGGAATGTTCAATCATTACAAATTATTGTATTATAACATCCAAATCGCTTTTTTAAAACGAATTCGAATGTTTGGATAGTATATATTAAATTTTATGAAATGTATATTTACAGGATATAAAAGACAATATTAAAGACGTTATAAATGAGAGGAAAAGAAAAGAATTTGATCCCTGTTTTAGTGCAGCAATCAATTCCGACGAAGAACGAAAACAACGTGAAGAAATCATTTCTGGAATGACGAGTGGCATATCACATGAGCCTGAAGACATCCATAAAGACACTACCTTCGAAACACACGTGGTACCATCGACATTTTTCGATCTGTTTCCAGAAGTAAGAATCGATCGATATGAATTGAAATGTGTCTTGTGTCAAGTTCAGTTTGACGACGAAGTTTCAATGCAAGAACACATGAAAAAGTATCATTAAAGAAATTTGCAACGTTAAAAACGTTGAAATCTTTCGATTTTGTAAGATTTCAAATGAGTTTGAAATTTAAATTTTAGTGACGAAATTACATACGATATTTAACATTCAAATTGTAGTGATTTAAATCGAATATAAATTACTAATAAATTCTCAATTATTTTCATAAATTTCATACCTTTTGTTTTTGAAAATTACTAAGTAAAAATAATTTAATTCCACATTATATGAAGTTTGCGTATTGTTTTTCTATAAACAAAAATTAATTGCATAAACACATTATTTCATCAACGTTATAGAGATATTAAGATCATGTATGCACAGAATTAGTACTCAGCGATTAGCTTTAATCTGTCAATGAGCAATATGGAGACATTTAACAAGAAAGTGTGAAAAGCCATTGGTAAAGGCTATTGCCAATATACTATTTAATCGGTGATAAGTCGGCTAAACTCGCTCAATTTGTCAATGGATGGTTTTATAAAATAGTCATTAAAATCTTTACATCTTTGTGACATCAGGACCTGACAGCAGCTAGGGTAATATATTTGCGCGCTAACTCGCGATATTAAGACTTTATATAAAACCGAGAAGAAGGGCTTATCCTTATAAGTGTAGGGATTGTGAGTGAGTTCGATAGCCGTCCTTTTTAAGAAATTGGATTAAAGTCAAGATGACAATTACTTAACTAATTTAATGGTTAATAAAATAAAAAAGATTACAAATGAATTAAATTAAACAATATAGGATACATATTAATTCGTATGTCTCTATGTCCTTATTTTCTATTTGTTATATATTTTGTCTACATAGACTTAGCCTATTAATATGCCTTTCAGCTGTTTAAAATGAATAGCTTTATCACTTAGTGTGCGCATTTATAAACTTTAATTATTGTTTATATTTATTGTTTATTCTGTGAATAAAATGAAATAAATCGATTTTCACGATTTATTTCATTCTCACGTCGGAATTCTATTAAATTATGTATATAGAAAATTATTTTATAAAAATACAGCTTACAGGTTNTTTATATAAAACCGAGAAGAAGGGCTTATCCTTATAAGTGTAGGGATTGTGAGTGAGTTCGATAGCCGTCCTTTTTAAGAAATTGGATTAAAGTCAAGATGACAATTACTTAACTAATTTAATGGTTAATAAAATAAAAAAGATTACAAATGAATTAAATTAAACAATATAGGATACATATTAATTCGTATGTCTCTATGTCCTTATTTTCTATTTGTTATATATTTTGTCTACATAGACTTAGCCTATTAATATGCCTTTCAGCTGTTTAAAATGAATAGCTTTATCACTTAGTGTGCGCATTTATAAACTTTAATTATTGTTTATATTTATTGTTTATTCTGTGAATAAAATGAAATAAATCGATTTTCACGATTTATTTCATTCTCACGTCGGAATTCTATTAAATTATGTATATAGAAAATTATTTTATAAAAATACAGCTTACAGGTTGCTCAGTAATATTACCAGTGGTGTGCCGTGACATTTAATGATAGGGAAGCTGTGTTTCTGCAAGAAGCCGACATCCAGGTGCTATCAGCAATCGCGCGTCAGTGATGGTCTAGGATCCACTCGTATCGTTTATTTGATAAGCCAGTAAAAACCGTAGACTTCTCTAAATGCATTTTTTAATATCACAATTACATTCTGAATCGCTAGCCACGATATAAGGGCTACAATTAAAAATAAAATAATAAAAACTTACTCGGTGAAATAAAATGTCTGTTGGATGTACCGGTACATACTTGGTACAAAATATTCTTCAATTGTACGAATGTACTGTACTTTTAAAGAAAATTATAATTAAATATAGCTTTGTAAAGAAACGTACATAAAAATATAAAATATTCTTTACTTTTTAAATTTTAAAACAATGCACTTAGTCAAATAGCTCCCTACGAGTGGCTAATGGATGGAATAGAAGACGGTTGCGGAGCGTGCATACATGCGGACTGCCAAATCCCCAGGATGCCGATACCGGTCAGTATCAAATACCTCTTTCGTCGCATCATTAGTATATCTCAAAGGACGGACAGGGCTGTTGTAGATTTTAAACGTTTCTCACCAAAGCTGTAAGAATCTAAATATGTTAAACTTAATAGATTGTCTGTCGTTTGTTTTCTAACTAATTCGTTTTCGGACCAGAGTCCACGGAAATTTCCAAAATTTACAACTTTTCGGTCACTGTCATTGAACTGGAAAAATTTCTCTTTTTATTACATCTAATATTACGAAGAAATCAGTCCCCACTGTACTCGGCTAGAGATTGGTTCGGTTAAGCTTTTGTTTAAGTAAAATTTCGGCTCTTTCATCAGGGTTTTATGTCCCCAATTCCCTAATCGCTTAATTATTTAACTACTTCTTAAGTAGAAATAAGTCGAAACCGGTTACTTTGTACTCGAATATTTGTAGTCTTGGGAAAAAAGTGGAAAGACAAATTTTTATGACAAACGGATACATAAATCGTAAATTTAAGGAAAATAAATTCTAGA